CTCTCGCCGGACACGGCCTTGGGCCGATGGGTGTTGTGATCGTACCTCGTGGCACTTCCAGCAGCTAGACGGCTGGAAGGATGGAGGGCCGCCAGTTGTAAGAGCAGAGCTCTCGCGTGGATGACACGCCCATGTTGGCGCTCGTCTTTGAAGGGGGGAACGGCTGCAGGGACGTGCGAGGAAGGGGCTCTACCCACGGGAGAATGTCCTGCAGCATCGCTGACGCATCCTGGAATTACTTTGCCTCCTCCCTCTCGCGGGGGGGCCTCCTCGGAGGCCAGAAAAAAACACGAATGAAACCGATCCCTCCCCTCCCCTTCCCTCCCCTTCCCTTCCCTTCCCTCCCTCCTCGGAGGCCAATCCCCCCCTTCCCTCCCTTTTTTATCCTCCTGCTCGTCCTCGCCCCCGCGGAGATAAGCTGCTGTTTCAATTTCCTTCGGCGCGCAGCGGTCGCTACCCAGGCCAAAACGCCTCCCCCCCCCTTCTCCTCGGCTCCACGCGAGAGTGGCCCTTGGTGGGAGCGGGGGGCAAACCAGGGCTGGACCTAAACAGTGCTTTTGGCGATTTCGTGGGCCGTTTTCGTTTCGACTTCGTTTTATTGTAAAGGCGGATTCGAGACAAAAGCGCGGGAAACCGACAACAAGACGAACACGAAAAACACCGTTTAGGTTCAGCCCTGGGGCAAACCCAATCACGCAGGCTGATTTTGCCCCACCGCACGCAGCAGAAGTCGGCAAGCCGCGCATGATGAGCCGATATTCCACCACCGCCGTCATAGGCAGGAGAGGGAGGAGAAGCAGGAGGAGGAGGAGGAGGAGGTTCTCCCCATCCTCCCTCCTCCCCCGTCCTACATATGTCGGTGGTGGTGGAAGATTGGCCCATCAGCGCACCAAGTGCCACTCTTTCCAAGGGTCACGCTCGCGTGCATCCAGACGTCGGGCGATGGGATTGCTCCTCCTCGGAGTGTGTCAGTGTCAGCTTGTTGGTCGCACTGGCTGGTCCCAGCTGCGAGCGCTTATACTGTTCAGTCGGGCCGGTCCCCCTATAGAGGGAATGTTCGAACATAGTTTTGAAGTAGTCGGGGGACGATGGTCTCATTTGAATTGAGAATGCTTCGATTTGAGGTTGACTATTTGTTATTTTTCTTCCAAGGTCCGCCTGCAGGGGGGCACGCCCGCCCTATAGGCTCATGCTGCCACCGGGCTCTTTCCGTCCCCATGCGAGTCATGAGGTCTCCGACGGGCGCGGCACGCGTCTCGCCGGGCTTCTTCGCTCGTGAGCCGTGCGGTTGGGCAGAGGGGCACGTCTCGATGGGGCAGCGGATGTCTCTCGATCTGCCTCTCCGGGTGGTGGCCGGCAGACAGGACACCCCCAGAGATCCAACGCATTGAGAAAAGCACGACGGAGGTGTTTCTCAATTTTCGGCCTCCAGGGGTCCTCACCAGGCCTCGGGACCGTCAGCAAACGACTCAGGATGAAAAACCGGCCTTGGGAAATGGGTCGAGACTTCAGGGGACAGCGTGCTGAAAAAATCACGACGTCGCATCTCTGGGCAGGACGATGGGAGTGTTCCCATCCGCCGCCCCAGAGGCCTCGACCCCTTCCCTGAGGCAAGCCTGTCGTCCCGGCTCTGCGTCTAATGCCAATGGAGCCCCGAAAAGGCTCCCAGAGGGGCCGAGCCCGAGGGAGACCGCCAGGAGCGGACGCGTCTCTCCCCGCGGTATGCCTGGGCAGCCGGCCCACCTCCTCCCAGCCTGGGCAGCCCCGACGGGCGCCGGGCGCGTGCGAGCGCGCGAGCGCCCTGTCGCACAGGACTGCCGGCAGACGAAGCTGTGCTGCCAGGACGGCCCGCCGGCGGGGCCTTGAGGAGGGGGAGGGGGCCACAGAGCTGGGGGCCCCACCGTCTGCAGTGGAAGCTCGGGCGGTCGCAAACATGGGTGGAAGAGGGGGCGTGGATTCGCGACGGGTCCCATTTCCATGGGAGATCCCGGATTCCCGCCGCCGAGCGAGGCGGCACCGGCCGCATTTTGGGGAGGGCACCTCCCCCGATCCATGGATTTGGCGACCGCGCGCCAAATCCATGGATCGCCAATCCATGTGTGCGCGCCCCCGAGAAACGAGGGCTGTGCGCAGGAGGTGAAACTTGCAGGTGATGCCTTCCCCCCTCCTCCCCCCCCCCGCCTCGGTTTCGAGCTCCCCCCAAACACTGGCCTGAAGTCGGGCCTGTCCCTCCACAGGAGGAAAATTCAAGAAATAGTCAAAACATAGTCTGGGGCGATTTGGGGAGCATTTTTTGGAATAGTTTTGAATATGTTTGGGGTATTTTTTCATTTTTCGCTCCAAATACGCCTGTAGGGGGACATGCCCGACCTAAGGGTACACCCCCCCAACAACGCAGTCGGGTGATCGGGGTCGTCGTGCCCCTCGTTGCAGGAGGAGTGCGAGGGAGGAGGACGAGGAGGAGGAGGAGAAGGAGGAGGAGGAGTAGGAGGAGGATGAGGAGGAGGAGGTGGAGGAGGAGGAGGAGGAGGAGGAAAGGAGGAAAGGAGGGAAGGAGGGAAAGGAGGAGGAAAGGAGGAGGAGGAGGAGGAGGAGGAGGAGGAGGAGGAGGAGGAAGAGGAGGAGGAGGAGGAGGAGGAGGAGGAGGAGGAGGAGGAGGACGAGAGGAGGAGGAGGAGGAGGAGGGGAGGAGGACGAGGAGGAGGAGGAGGAGGAGGAGGAGGGAGGAGGAGGAGGGAGGAGGAGGAGGAGGAGGAGGAGGAGGAGGAGGAGGAGGAGGAGGAGGAGGGAACGCAACAGCCTCGTCGCTGATGCCTGCCGACAAAAAAAGAGGCGAGGGCGGCGGAGGCGGAGGAGGAGGAGGCGGAGGAGGAGGAGGCGGTGGAGGCAGAGGCCTGAGAAAAAAAGTCCAGACCTCAAGCCCCCCCCAGCGTATTCCAACAAGACGGCAGGTGCTCCCAACTTTTCGGCCTCCTCGTGGTGGCCCCCCGGGCCAGTGGCAAACACATGTCGGGATGAGCCCTGTGTTTCTCCCGTCGCAGCGCGGCAGAGGCAACCTGTACGCGCGCTCTTGTAGCCCGGTGCGTGCATGGCGTACTAATTTCAGGAGGGACAAAAACACACAGACACAAGTAATCGTCGAATCCCAGGCAAATATGGGAAAATATGTTCAGTGGGGGGGAAACGAAAACCAAGAAAATATTGGAAAACGTGGGGAATCCTGGTGTTTGCGTGTATTTATGTGTATGTGTGTGTGTGTGTGTGTGTGTCCCTGGGCGCCCTTAGTTCCTCCCGTCGCAGCGCGGCAGAGGCAACCTGCACGCGCGCTCTTGTAGCCCCAGGGCATGGCGTACGAATTGTCCAGCGGCGCGAGGGAGGGAAGGAGGTGCAGGGCGGCCGCGGAACGCGAGTGGGGGAGGAGGGCATTCACCGCACGGAGAGCTTCGACTTAGGTCGGGCTTGTCTCTCTACAGAGGGATTTTGGACGACAAATCAAAACAACATAAAAAAAAACTTACAACTATTCAAACATGCTTGAAACAAATACTCCAAAAACCGTCCCCGCATTATTGTTGTTGACTATTTTTGGATCTTCTCCCTGTAGAGGGACAGGCCAGACTTAGGCTTCGGCGCGGGATCTCGAGATGACGAGACGGCCTTGGAAATCGTGTCGGGATTTCGTTGGACCCCGCGCTGGAGCAAGCAATGCATCGAATCTTTGGGGAGGAGGAGGACGTGGTGAGACATCCGACGGCTGCTCGGGAGCATCGAGGCGTCCCGTCTGTTGCCATGTTGGACCTCTGGGGGCCCCTCTGGGGCCCTGGGACAATCAGAAAAGGACTCGGGATCGAGCTTCACGGGAGAGCTCCACGGAAGCCTTGCGCGGAGACTTTGGAGCTCAGTTTTTCAGCGGCATTGTGCCTGTTCAATCCCAGGGTGTTTCTAAGGGCCCTTCGCTCTGGCTGCAGTGCATCAGGGCACCTAGGCTACGACTTCACGTACCGCAAGCTACGCCGGTATACCGCAAGCGACGTCAGTGCAGAGCAACGCGTTGCCAAGCAGAGCAGATCAAAGCTGAAATCAGCCAGGATGTACTAGACAACGCAAGGTTTGCCTGAGTTCGGGCGAATGAGAGCTTTTCTGGGCTTGCGAATGGCTGCCAATGCAGAAGCCCGCGGAAGGCCGTACTCCTACAGACAAGTGGTATCGAATCGAATGAACCTACCGCCAGCACACTTGTTCTCAACCCTGCTGTGGAGTTGAGCTCCCGCATTGGATCCGCAGGGCCGCGTTCCCCCTCATCCTCTCCCTCCTCCTCTCCTTGCTTTTGCCTTTTTTGCGTGCAGTTTTTGATTACACACGGTCATACGACTACGGCATTAGTAGTGGGTGCGTTCGCATGCCGCCGCACGGCTCATTTCGGCACACACCTCAATTTTTTCGTCGCCGGGATCTACACCAACGGCCCCACTGAGTTCGTTCGACCTCACCGGTCCGACCTCACCCTCTCTTCTCATCCCGACCCCAGCCAGACCTCCGAGGTGTGTTTTTCAATCCGTCGGGCCCCCGAAGCCGTCGACCCCATTCCAGGGGGTTAGCTGTTCTGTCCTGGATGGTGTTTTCATTGTCCTGTGGCCCAAGTGGGATGCCCGATAAAGAAGGGCACGCACACAGACACGCACACCCACACACACACACACACACCGTCGCGAGCTTTCTGTCATCCTCAGCCTGCTCGTCCTCCGCTGGACCTGGCCCCCTCGCCGCGTTCGGGGCAGAAGCTCGGGGCACACCCGGCCGCGGCGACGAGGGCACCCCCCCGAAGGGCCGGAAGAGACGCAGAGCCTCCAGCGGCCCTGCGTCCGTGCCCCTCTCCCTCCCTCTCCCGTCGTCGCTGCCCTCGTCCTCCTCCTGCGCCCTTGGCTCTCCTTCCTCCGAGCATCCGAGCAAGAAGAGCCCGCGCCCGGCAGGAGGGCTTCGCCTGCGCCGTGAAGGACGACATGTTCACGGGGTGCACCCAGACCGAGGAGAAGCACACGTGGGACAGCAAGGCGGCCTCTCGAATGGATCGAGCCTCGAAGCGCCGAGGTTTGTGAGCCGCTCGGCCCTCCTATGAGCCTCCCGGGACACCCGTGCTGCCACGGCTGGGTTCCACGCAACATGTTCGAGCAAGTGGGAATACCCACGCAACGCGTTCGTCCTATCTCCGGTATCTTCTTCATTATCTTCCTCTCCCTTCTCCGCATAGTCCTGCTGTTATTCCTGGCACCACTGATTGGCTCAATAACGCCGGCGACTAATCTTACATGTAGATGTTGCTTTTGGGGCAGTTGCGCCGTTACAGCATACCAGTTAACGTGTCCATCCCATTCGAATCACTCGGAAGGGCCCATGGGCGCATACCAGACGTAAGTCAATACAGTAAATACTGCGGCCCTTTTGCTTCGCAGGCATACGCGTTGCATGCCTTCGCAGAACTGGTATGATGCAGTACCGAGGGACGCGGTATGGACGGGGGAGTCGACAGGCGAAAGGACGACGATGGCCGAGAGGAGGACGGACGAGACGAGGGCAGGGGGAAAGAATGTGAGCGACTACGCCTTTGCTAGGATGCAACTCCGGGGAGGGTAAATTCTGTATCGGCGCTGGTATTTTCGCTGTCGATATATGGCTTAATCTGGGCTAATCCGGCCTAGTTCGGCTTCGTTCCGCTTAATCCCAGCTCAGTCAGGCTGAACTCGCAGGCTTAGTCCGTTCTGATCTGGTTCAATTGCACTTCGATCGGGCTTAATCGCCCTTAATGGTTCGAACCGGGGAAGTCCATGCGGGCTTCGCTTGTTTTGCCACTCAGTGGGACCTCCCAGGAACTCATGGGAGCAGGGACGGTCGCCAGCGAGGTCCAGGTTGGGCCCATTTCACCGCGCGTTTCGCTGTACCTCCCATGAGCCCAAAGCATTGGCGACAGCCCTCCCAGAGAAAGAGCCCTCCCAGGGAAAGAGAGAGAGAGAGAGAGAGCAAGTCAAAACAAAAATTATCCTGGCGAAGGACCCAACCATATGCAATTGCGAATAACGCTTTGTGGGTGCCGCTTTCGGTGGGGCTCCTTATGGGGCCACGAACGACGTGCCACGAAACGCTGTCCTGGGCGTACGGGACGCATGAGGGCGGTGGCCCTGGGGCCTTCGGTGGAGCTCCCTGTGGGGCCACGAAACGTGTGAGGGGTGCGCCGAAATGGGTGCGGCGCCGCCATGCGGACGCAGCCGCTGGGGCCTTCGGTGGAGCTCCCTATGGGGCCACGAGGCGTGGGAGGGGTGTGCCGAAATGGGTGCGGCGCCGCCATGCGGACGCAGCCGCTGGGGCCTTCGGTGGAGCTCCCTATGGGGCCACGAAACGTGTGAGGGGTGTGCCGAATGGGTGCGACGCCGCCATGCGGACGCAGCCGCTGGGGCCTTCGGTGGAGCTCCCTATGGGGCCACGAAACGTGTGAGGGGTGTGCCGAAATGGGTGCGGCGCCGCCATGCGGCAGCCGCTGGGGCATTCCTGGAGCTCCTATGGGGCCACGAAACGTGTGAGGGGTGTCCGAAATGGGTGCGGCGCCGCCATGCGGACGCAGCCGCTGGGGCCTTCGGTGGAGCTCCCTATGGGGCCACGAAACGTGTGAGGGGTGTGCCGAAATGGGTGCGGCGCCGCCATGCGGACGCAGCCGCTGGGGCCTTCGGTGGAGCTCCCTATGGGGCCACGAAACGTGTGAGGGGTGTGCCGAAATGGGTGCGGCGCCGCCATGCGGACGCAGCCACTGGGGCCTTCGGTGGAGCTTCCTATGGGGCCACGAAACGTGTGAGGGGTGTGCCGTGATAGTGGGAGGAGGGAGGAGGGAGGGAGGGGGCAGCGGGAGGAAGGGAGGAAGGAAGGAGTGAACGCGGGGCGCTGTCTCTTCAAAACGAGGACCCAACACCACAGGATGGTTGGGAACAAGAGAGATTGGAGAGATTGACAGAGAGGGAGACGAGGGTCTAGTTACTAGTTGGGGTCCCTTCAGCCCTGCGCTCCGCTGGACCTCCCAGAAGCCCACCAAAGTGGCGACAGTTCGGAGTTTCGCAGCGCCCAGGGAGGTCAGGTCTACACCCCGGTCGTTGAAAGTAGGTATTCTTGGATTCCCAGATCCCAATCCACTTCAAGCGCCTGCCTACCTCAAGAATCGATGTGTTTTTGCTGCGTCGTGCTATTCTCTGGGAGGGCCTGAGCCCAATCGACTTTGTCCGCCTTCCTACTTCATGCTGCTTTTATATACGTCTTCCGACCAGCGTGTAGTCGCGATTAATTCCCAGCCATCTTGTGGGGTTTGGGTATTCGCTCTGAAGAGACAGCGCCCCGCGTTCTCCTCCTTCCTCCTCCCCCTCCTCCCTCCTTCCTCCTCTCATCCTGATCGCCATTCGGGGGCCCCAAAACGGGGTGGTGACAATACCGCGTGGTGAGTCGGTGGGGATTTGGGGTCACCGC